GCTTCTAAAAACATTTCTTTGGGCAGTTCCAGTGTGCTGAAGAGCTGCAACACATACGCAGAACCTGAGATAAGTAGGAAAATTCCACTGGGCTGTAAATTGAGTTAACTGCCAAATAGCAAAATTATACCCTGGGGGGCCATAAAGGGTTCCTGGTATATTTTTGTTTTTGAAAAGGAAACTGGAGAGTCTTGGAGACTAAGAGCTGAAGTCTCTCTCCCAGACCCCAACTCCCCTCCCCCCACCTCACATTTAAAAGTCAAAGGGCCGTGGAAGTTTTATGCTCAGAAAATGATTGGTAGGAGATTTAGGATGTACAAAAAAAGGACATATTCGTGCATTACTTAACTGACTGGTGGAACCTATTGCCAAAAGGAGGAACAGGCAAACCTACAGAGCAGGAGGAGAGGTCTATCAGCAGTCATTATGCTTAAGTAGAACCTCAGTGTTCAGAAGCAGTCTACCTTAGCATACTAGTTGCTGGGTGTAGTGATAGGAAAGGGCTACATTCTCCAGGCCATTCTTGTGGTCTTCCTGGATAAATCTCTGGGTGCAGGGTGCTTGTCTAGGTAGAACATTTGCCTCATCCAGCACTCAGAAAACGACCTCTTGGCTGGGGAACTCTAAAAGAAGACAACGAGAAAGAAAAAAAGAAACCATTTCTGCTGGCCAGCAAAGTAAACAGATATTGATTCAAATGGGAATTCAAATGTGTCTTTATTTCAGGTCTTTTCTGCAACTAGACAGTATATTATTGGGGGTTGTTGTTAGTTTGTTTTGTTCTTGTATTTGGCGTTTTTATCTTGCATTTTTATGCTGTGAACTGCCCTGAGATCTTTGGATGAAGGGCGCTATACAAATTAAATGAATAAATATCTGATTAAGGCAAGGTTGTGGGAGAAATCTGATTCAGCTCACTTTTAAAGGCCTACCTACTACCAAATCCACTATGCGAACTGAAGCACAGCCATCCTTCAAAATTCACACTTCTTCGAATTTTGCAGTGCAGATCTCCAGCTGAGTGATGGGGTACAAAAAATGCATATGCTGAGGGTGAAGCACACAAATGAATGCATATATTGATGAAAATAACATACAAAACAATGCATGATATTAGGGAACATTGCTCTGCAGAAAAATGTGCAAAGGTAAAATTGCACATAAAAAGGTATATACAGTAGTGGAAGAAATTCACACAATGGCTCTATGATACAACTTTAAACAGTCGTGGCTTTCTGCAAAGACTTCTGCAACCTGCTTTTTTGTTAAAGGTGCTGAGAGTTGTTAGGAGACCCTGTATTCCAGAACTACAATTTTCAGAGTTCCCTGGGGGAAAGGGCTTGATTGTTAAGTCACTCTGGAAATTATATTTCTGTGGGAGGAATAAAGATCTCTCAATGATTCTCAGCACCCTTAGCAAACCAAAATTCTCTAGGGGAAGCAATGGCTGTTTAAAGTGGTATCATAGTGCTTTAAAGGTATGGCACAAATACTCTCATGAATTCTCATGGGGACTTGAGAAAAAAAGGGGAGGAGAAATTGCAAGCTGATGTAGATATGTGGAAAAATGAAGACCTGAGAGAAACCAAAACTGACAGATTCACCTGTCCATACTTACAATTAAGACCCTCCAACATGCAGCAGCCTGCCTGCTCTCAAACAACTAACTCCCTCTGTGTCAGTCGCTGCCTGGGCTTGAACCAGGAGCCCATGGGGCTTGGTCCACAGCCACCTTGGGTAGTGAGCCACCAGCAGATCCCTTGGCTCGCAGGACCTAGAGTTGGAGTGAGGAGCCTGTAGCTGGATTCAAATGAAAAGACAGGAGATTCCAACTAAAAATTCGGAAGAACTTTGTGTAAGAGCTGTTCAACAGTGGAACAAACACCCTTGCGAGGCAATCCATTGATGGAGGTGTTCACACAGAGGTTGGATGGCCACCTGTCAGGGCTACTTTAGCTGTGATCCCTGCGTTGCAGGGGGCTGGACTAGATGGCATTTAAGGGATCCCTTCCATACCCTCCAGCATTGCTGTGATGAAAATAGGGATGTCCTAAATGCTACTACAACTATTACTACTTATATCCCACCGTTCTGACTGGGTTTCCCCAGCCACTCTGGGCGGCTTCCAACATATATAAAAACAATAAAACTTTTTTTTAAAAAAACCTTCCCTATAAGGCAGGCATGGCCAAACTTGGCCCTCCAGCTGTTTTGGGACTACAATTCCTATCATCCCTGACCACTGGTCCTGTTAGCTAGGGATGATGGGAGTTGTAGTCCCAAAACAGCTGGAGGGCCAAGTTTGGCCATGCCTGCTATACAGGATTGCCTTCAGATGGCTTGGGGGGGCAGATAACTCCATACCCTCCAACATTTCTCTGATGGAAAAGTGTGGCATTCTGGAATCAGATCAGAAACTGGGACGACTTCTGTAAATCTGGGACTGTCCCTAGAAAATAGGGGCACTTGGAGGCTCTGCCCTTCCCACTCCACAGTTCCGACTTGCTGTTCCTTGACCACAACCCTCATAACCTCCGGTCACTGGCCATGAAGGCTGTAGAGCTACAGGTTCCCAACACCTGTGGTTGTGTGTCCCTCCACCATGGCCACTGGCTCTTTTCCAAAGGGAGACTCACTCTTCTGGCCTGGCCTTTGCCCGGCCCATTTCCCCCCACAACTGGATCTGGGAGAAACCTGGTGCCAACACAAATCTGGTGTTCTCTCCTTGTAATATGGGCACATCAGGTTCAGGGATAACCGTAGCTAGAAGGTGGCAGCCCTAGGGTGGGGTTCACCATGACCCTGGCACCCTATCCAATGTGAAAGAGCAGTCTGCTTGTATGTACATCCAGCCCTGTGACAGAAAGATAGCTATTCAGAGAGCAGGCTTGTGAAGTTGCATTTTTTGGCAGATTTTTATGGATACGAGGGCCAGGCAATTTTGTTTCTGTTGGCTGGGGATTCTTGGGTCGGAACAGAGTTCACAGCAGGGGGCACAGGTTGCCCAGGGCATCAGCAGTCACTGGGTAGCAATGTGTCCCCTGCCAGCTCTTGTGAATGATTGATCTCGGCCTCTCTGTAGCTGGCAGAGCCCTCGGGCTATGAAAGGCTGTTCTCACTCGGGAAGCAAACAAACCAATATTAGTGTCTCCCTGCAGCCATCTTAGAATTTTCTCTGGTGCTGACCCAGCAATTTCTGACGATCTTGCACAAACCACCGCAAGTTGAGGAATAAATCTGAGCTCTCAGAAGTCCAATTGCAAGCAACATTTCCACCCTCCCCCTAGAAAATGGGGTGGTGGGGATTGCAGCAAAGCCTTTTAGGGACAGGAGCAAACTGCAATGTTCAGTGATTAGAAATCTCTCTTGAGCCAGAGAACCTTAAGGTAATTTTTGCTGAATGTCAGGCTATTTCTATCTGAGTATAGTTTTAATGAGTGTAATAGAATGAAGCTGAAGGAAAAAGTTATCTAGCGGGAACATTCAGCTTGGATTTTCTGGACCATTGTGAAACAGCAGTTTGTGTGTGTGTGAAGTTCTCAAACAGCTTTGAGGGGCTCTCTGGCAGCCTCCTTCTTTACAACAGCACCGTTCCATTGTCACAGCCCAGAAGCCATTTTGTTTTTCCCACAGTGCCCTGGAGTGCACCAGAGCATTGTGGACCAAAATGGCAGCCACCACACAAAAAAATGGCGGTTCTGACTGAACATGAAAAGGGCAAAATCACCTAAAGTTCTACTAGTGAGCCCCACTTCAATTCTGTGGGATTAAGACATTACACATACTTCTGTAAAACAAGAAAATCTTTAATAAAAAAATAATAATTCTGTGGGATTACCAACTTCATATAACAAACATGCTTAAATCTAATCAATGCATGAAGGGGTTAAGACGGAGTAAATGTCCTGCCAGCCTTAGGTCACTTTGGGAATAGGTAATCAAGCCTGTTAGTGATGTTTGGAAGTGAGAGCTGGACCATAAAGAAGGCTGAATGCCGAAGAATGGATGCTTTTGAATTATGGTGCTGGAGGAGACTCTTGAGAGTCCCATGGACTGCAAGAAGATCAAACCTCTCCATTCTGAAGGAAATCAGCACTGAGTGCTCACTGGAAGGACAGATCCTGAAGCTGAGGCTCCAATACTTTGGCCACCTCATGAGAAGAGAAGACTCCCTGGAAAAGACCCTGATGTTGGGAAAGATGGAGGACACAAGGAGAAGGGGACGACGGAGGACGAGATGGTTGGACAGTGTTCTCGAAGCTACCAGCATGAGTTTGACCAAACTGCGGGAGGCAGTGGAAGACAAGAGTGCCTGGCATGCTCTGGTCCATGGAGTCACAAAGAGTCGGACACGACTAAATGACTAAACAACAACAACAACAACAACAATCAAGCCTGTGTTCCCCTCTTGGTCTACCTGATGAACTCAGTGTGCGAAGAGACTAGCATGTGAAGAACATGTGGTCTTTTTCTATGCTATAAGAAGAGGGAATGTTGGAAGGAACTTGGAAGGGGATATTTTAAAGGTCCAACAACCTAAATTTCCAAACTTTACTCAGCTGCATATTTTGCAATTTTAAATCACTGCTGGGGTTTTCCCAGCAAAGAGTACTTGCTCCAAACTTGGACCCTGGCATTAGCCTGGATCTTGGACTTCTTTTCTACTGATCTTTTTTTCTGTGCCACCAGTGAATCTCCCAAAGGGACTGGCAAATTTGAGGGGGTCCCTTTGCTCAGCACGGTCCACTTGATGGCATGTTGGTCATGGCTGGGACTTGGGATTGGTTTTACAACCAATCACTCTTCAAATGAAACTTTGGGAAATGTAGCTCTTTGAGGGGAAAAGGGGTCACCTAACAACTGCCTGATATCAACAGGTGGGGTGTTCCAAAGTGCAGGGGTGCTGCCACACCAAAAGGTAGAATTCTTACAAACCAAGGACTGCATTGGAGACGTCCTGCATGCAAAGTAGGTGTTCTGCCACTGGGCCACATTTCAGTTCCCAGCACAGTTAGTAGAGCATGAGACCCTTAATCTCAGGGTTGTGGGGTTCAAACCCCACCTTGGGTAAAATATTCCTGCACTGCAGGGGGTTGGACTAGATGATCCTTGTGGTCCCTTCCAACTCTACAGTTCTATGATCCTATGATCATGGCTCACCTCAAGCTGCTGCCCACCAGGCAGTCCAGCCACACCAGTCAGAACAATGACCACGACCCTGGCGTCTTTTTTCTTGGCTCCCCTTTGACAGCTGCCTCCGGCTCAGCCTTCACACCTGCAGGGGAGGGATGAACCCCCCCATATTGGCCATTCATGATTTGTCACCACCACCATTAATCATTCCCATTGTGCTTCCGTTCTGCTCTAACAGGGAGTGGTGGTGGTGGTTGGGGAGAGTATCATTAATCTTTTTATATAAGGGCCCTTATCTTCTTTGAAGCACTTCTGTGAGACTGGCCATTTTTCCCCCACCACTTACTGGCTCCTTGAAATGCTTCTAGTGTTTTGCAGGAGAGGGTTTTGCCTTGCTCTCTTGTCTCTTGCTGAGAGAGCAGCCTCTTCGGCCAGCAGGTAAATATTAAAAGGAGCTCCCAGAGGTGGGGTGGAAGAGAAGGCGCAGGCATACCCCCTCCCTCATGTGCACCCCACAGGAAGAGCAGGAGTCATCTGTCAGCCAGCTGTGTTCCCGTTTGCTTGACCCGAACATGATGTGTTGATTGGCCCGCTCCACAGGGCCTTCAGAAAGTTACTTTAGGGTGCCTCGTGTGGAGCTGCAAAACGTGGCCTGGACTCTTAGGAGGAAGGATGACTGAAGACCAGCTGCAGGAGAACAACAGGGGGAGGAGCAATACCATGCCTCTGCCCTGATTGGGGGCTTCCTGGGGCAACCAGGGTTGATGGCCACCTGCCAGGGGGTTCTTTAGCTGCATTGCAGGCGGTTGAACTCCTTGGGAGCTGCCTTCTTACCCCACAGTTCTATGATTCTGTGACTGCCGTGGGAAGCAGGATGACGGACTCGCCAGCTCTTCGTGCTTCGAAGTAGAGCCTCCCTATTCAGAAGCAGTCTACCTCAGAGTACCATCCAGTGATGATGATGTAAAACTATTGTCTGTGAACTTCTTATTCCATCATGGTTTCAGTGAGATCCAGCTGCCAGGCTCTACTCTCTTGCTTCTGAGGTAGCACATCAGAAAAATACTACCTGGGCAAACATGGTTTCATATGGATTCTTTATTTCTTTATGACATTTATCTCCTGCCTTGCCTCAGGGCTGCAAACCATGCATTTGCAAAACAATACACTTAAAAAATAAGCTAAGGAACACATTTAAACCATTTAAAAGCACCTTTCTCTGTTATTTTTGCCTCTTTATGATGCACACTTCCTCAATGCAAGCGTCTGCCGTGCATATTTTGGCCAGAGAACTGCATCAACAAAATCTGGAGAAGTATGAAATTTTAGGGAATTTGCACGTTGCTTCGGGAGGCAGAAATCGGGCAGCTTCAGGTTCAGATTTGAGCTGAACTTCTCTTTCCTACCCCCTACCTAAAAGGGGTTCATGGTGGAGAAGAGGCAGGCAGTGCTAGCCAGCTGGAAACCACGAGGACAAACAAGTGAGACCCAGACATCCCTAGTGGCGGGAGTCCAGTCCAGGATTTCCCCCTTCTTAACTTGCTCACAATCTCCTGCTTCCTTTTTCCAACTCTTGAAAAAAGAGCTTATCTTTGAAGAGGAGAAGCGGGTGGGAATGGTTATGTTGTGTTTATATTGCCTGCTGCTGAGAATGTTGGTTGGGGAGCCATGGACTGTGTTCCTGGCTTTTATTTCTGAAATAGCCCATGGCTGCCTTTGAGGACCCCCGATTTTTAAATTGTTATTTCTCCCTACTCCTCTTCTCCCTCCCTCTCTCCCTCCCTCCCTCCCTCCCCCTCCTTTTTTTTTTTTTTACCAAAAAAAAATTACTTTCTTCTGTAAACTGAGAAGGTAGAAAGATCCGGGTGGGGGCTAGCCTTGCACATAAGAGAGAGATCTAAAAAGAAAGCGAGACAGCGTGAGGCGAGAAGACATGTCGGTCAACGGTAGGAGAAGTTGTGGGAGACCCTCTTACTACTACCGTCTACTGCGGAGGTCACGTCTACAGAGGCAGCGAAGCCGGTCCAGAAGCAGGAACAGGCCACTCAGCCGGGGTAATTTTCTCTAGCCGATGTTTTCCTTGGTTGAAACGGTAAACCACTTTTTCCCTTTTCTCAATCTGCTGGTTGATAAGGCGCATGGATAAGACTGGGCTCCTGGGATTTACGAAAGGACTAATCAACGGCGGCTACATGGTGTGGAACTCTGTTGGTGCAAGGAGGATGCAAACTTTTGGATTGCTCAGCAGAGAATTATTTCCAGGTGGGAAGCCAGGTTCCTCTGTTGCACCTTGAAGGGAAAAAAAAGATTTGTTATGGCTCGACAGAATTGTCAGATTATAAGCAGAAACAAGTGAATTTTGCTTTTACCCTGTTCCCACATACTCTTTTGTTCCTTTCGTTATCTCCTGGGTTCGCTGTGCCCCTTCCCCTGGATTTTGATTCAATTAGAAGAATATCTTGCAATTGCAGAGAGTTGGATTAGTTGATACTTCTGCATTGCAGGAGATTGGACTAGATGACTAGATGGCTAGATGACTAGATGGCTAGATGACAATTCTCCGGTTCTAGAGTTCTGGAGTCAGAGCTTGTGAGTTTACCTTGGGCTTTCCATTCCTTCAGTCAAGGGTATCACTAGGTACTTAGATGACTCAGGGTGCAAGCCCATGGCACAAAATGTCACTCTGGGTAAGTTGAGATGGTGAGTGGCTGGAAGCTCTGCAATGCTCCCAGCTATGTTAGAGAGATGTTTTTGAGCTTTTTTAAAAAGGAAATACGTCAAAATCTCCACTTCTGACATTGGTTGCCATACGTCCAGATGTAACCGTAAGCTATGTTATAAGCAAATGTTAATTTTTCTTTTTCCAATTATAGTGTGTGTGTGTGTGTGTGTGTCAAAAGAGTGGGAAAGGGCAAGAGCAAAAGGGAGGGGTGGGTGGGGGGACACACAGTGTTGGCAGATTCAGGATAGATAAAAAGAGGTGCTTCTTCAAGCAGCATGATAATAATAATAAAAATTTAAAAAAATTCATACCCCGGCCATTTGGCTGGGTCTCTCCAGCCACTCTGGGCAGCCTCCAACAAAGTATTAAAATACAGCAGTCTGTTAAACATTAAAAGCTTCCCTAAACAGGGCTGCCTTCAGATGTCTTCTAAAAGTCTGGTAGTTGTTGTTCTCTTGGACATTCTGGTGGGAGGGCGTTTCACAGGGCGGGTGCCACTACCGAGAAGGCCCTCTGCCTGGTTCCCTGTAACTTGGCTTCTCACAGTGAGGGAACCGCCAGAAGGCCCTTGGAGATGGACCTCAGTGTCCGGGCAGAACGATGGAGGTGGAGATGCTCCTTCAAGGATACTGGGCCAAGGCCGTTTAGGGCTTTAAAGGTCAGCAAACTATGGAACTCCTTTCCCCAGGAGGCAGTGATGGCCACCAACTTGGATGGCTTTAGAAGACAATTCATGGAGAAGGATAGTGTTGTTGATGGCTTTTAGCCACCATGACTACGCTCTGCCTTCACATTCTGAGGCAGCAATGCTTTTCAATGTTGCTTTCTGGAAGCACATGGACTAAGATTGCCCTTATACTTTGGTCCTGCTTGCTGGTTACCCCCTGTGCAAACAGGACGTTGGACCAGATGGGTCATTGGCCTGATCCAGCAGGGCTCTTCTTAAGTTGGTATGAAGGACAAAATGTTTTGCACGCAAACACACACTCATAATGTCCTCCACTGCACCTGAAAACAGCAGCGTAGTTCCTGGACTGTAGGCCAGGCTGTGTGGCACACACACGAGGACTCACGGCAGGGAGGACAGCAGGAGGACTGTCCCCCCTGCCCCCAGCACCTGCCATCTGAAGCAGTGGCCTCTCTCCGCCTCATGGTAGGGTCAGCCTCATCCCAGTTTGCCTCTTAATGGTGCCCCTGTCGTCTTCACTTCATGTGTATTTCCTTTCCTCTGAGCCAGTGGTTCTCAACCTGTGGGTCCCCAGATGTTGTTGGACTACAACTCCCATCACCCCTGAGCTCTGGCATTGCTAGCTAGGGGTGATGGGAGTTGTAGTTCAACAACATCTGGGGACCCACAGGTTGAGAAAGGCTGCCTAAGCCTCTTCAAGTTGTATCCAACAAAGTTATCCTCAGTGCAGACGTTGAATTAATGAACCAAAGTTAGTCATGTACATCAAGAAACTCTGGTGGGTCTACTCTAAGTAGGGCTCCTATTTAGCTACAACTCTGTATCCAACAAAATGCTAGATGGAACCCAATGTTGATGGAATCATAGACTTAATGTCCAAAGCTTGGAGCCAGGGTATAGTTGAGTGTCTGCATAGATCTTCAGCGGGGGCCTCCTGTGGGTATCTCAGCTGTTTGAGGGCCTCATGGGTGGTTACAGTGTGGGGCAGCTTTCCTTTGGTAGGGCATGAGACTCCTAATCTCAGGTTAATGGGTTTGAGCCCCACATTGGGCAAAGGATTCCTAACTGCAGGGGATTGGACTCTACAGCTCTATGGTTCTGTGATTCAGGGGGCTGCTTTGGTCTCGTTATTATTTCAGCACCAGGCAGAGACTTTTATTACTTTCTCAAACATTTTAAATGCCATTTTAATTCTGCTGACTGTTTTATGACGCTCTCTGGGATCTCACAGCCTTTTCCATTTATTAATAATGTTGTGCTGGCATTTCCATTTTAATTGTTTTGCTGTTTCTTGTAAACCGCCCTGGGTATAAAAATACCTTATAATAAATAATCGCTAAATAATAAGGGCAGTGCCAATATTCCTTCTTCAAAAACCTTGTGTGGGGAGTGCCTAAAACACTGCTAAATGGAAGTCCTGGTGTGATGCTACACAATCGTCAAACAGCCGTATATTTTCTTGTACACTGACCCTCATTCTCCTGCACACCAGTGTAACTCCCATATTTTAGGGACTTTAGGGAATTTT